GGCAGTTCGTCATGGCAGAACCCACAAGATTTGATGTATTGATTGTACATATATTGATGTTAAGTATTTTTGTATGTTCCAATCATTGTTATTGTTGATTAATCCTGTTTGTGTCCGGACATTCCACAACTTACAATCGTCAACGTGAGAAGGGTTGTAGGCGTACTGGTTTACGTCCTTCAATTCTTCAAATGAATTCCACCAAGAATTTATCCGTGAAGTGATTTGTACTGTTTGTATATACGTGTGGTATGTGTGGGTATGCTCGTGGTGCGTTGGCTTTTCCGTTTGTTTTCCATTTCAGCTTTGTCCGTGTGACCCAGGTTCTCGCAATGGCATCCAAGTCAACGTGTACTGGTCGTGATGGAAAAAGTAAATGTATCATTTTTTTGTGGGGGAGTGTCAATGTAGTTGAAGATTGAACGATCAATTCATGGTTGTCTGCTCAAACCCAACTTCCCCAATTTTCTCGGAGGCATCATTCAGCCAGTCATCGTCTCATTGGTCGCTGTTCAGAAAGAAGTCAGGAGAAAACCGTCAGAAACCTTAGTTGTAATATTGGTTATATGCTGGTGTTAGAATAAATAATTATCAATTCGCCAAACTGGGTTCTGGATTTTGCGTCCGTTCGTACTAAGCGTTTCTGAGGGGCCTCGAAGAACAGCGTGAGTACCAGTGTAGCAAGAGCTGGGCATTAACGGTTTACGAGACGACGGTGACAACACATTCCAATCTGCTAAGTAGACTACAACTTAGTTCCTGTGCACAGCATTTGGGACACTCACTGGCCACGCAAATGGTCCGGGGTTATATCCCCTACCGATGCTCAACCGACGTCAATTGGTGGGTCTGCAAAATTTAGACTAACGATATCACATGCTGAAACTTTCATAATTGTACCAAAAGTAAGGTGTGGAATCAAGCTGTAATAAAAAATATGAAGTAATACTAACTACTTCTACACTTTATAAATTTTTAAGGGAAATTCAATTCCCTAGTCGTGAGTGGCAGCTATTATATACTTGTAAGCGTGTATAAAGGTGATACTGCTAGGAATGTCCTCAGGTATCTATGTATCTGGTGACCCAATGGGAAACACTTGCCTGTAAAAGCGGCATGCATTTTCATGTAAATTTGTATGTTTATATGAAAATATACATTATCGTTATTACAAAAGCTAAAAATGTGTAGCACACTGTATGACTGTGACAAAATGAAAGCAATGGAATACTGTAACTTAAGTTATTGACAAGAAATATTTCAGAGCTTAACATCAAAAAGGAAGTAGGGTGGTGTGTGCTGATCAGAAGATGTGGTATTGGTCACAAATGTGAAACGCTCCGATCTGTATGACAGCAACGTGCATTTTTCGGCAGCTCGAGAATTAAACATGAGTCTAGATCATTAACAAAAAAGAAAAATAAGGATTGTACTGATCTAAATTATAAAAAATTGCTTTTCTCTTAGCATCTGCAAGCCTCTCCAGCTTCATGTCAAGATGCTACCCAATGGGTCCTACAGAAATTCGTGAGACATCTTACAGGTAAGCTTTACCTACGGGTTTTAACCTTCCAAATATTTGAATTCACTATTCACTGAAATGCCACTTAACTGCCTCACGATAACCTTTTCATTTATGCAATAGTATACTCTATTTGATGTTAACTACATGGGCATTTATTCAGGTTAAAAGTTACTCTTTGTTCACATTTGTTGCTTGGTTAAATACTGATTGCTTCGATGGAAAACACGACAGCACTAATGTTTGAAAAAAGCTATATTTTTATCGGAAACGTCTTAGTTTCTTCATAGTAAGACCAAAATGGTTAGCATTAAACACTGCAAATGTACACTATCATTCGGTCGACTATATAGCTCCATTTGCCCACATCTTGTAAATGTGCTTTCAATGATGTACTATCCATAATTGTATTTGATACTATCTGCAGCTTCCCACTACGTCGTTCTATTCCCAAAAAATAGCCTTTATTAAAGTAACGGCTCGGCACGCATCTAAATATACACTGCTCACTGGTTGACCATTATTATCAGCAGGAATCAGGAAGAAAATTGAGCTTCTTGTAAACACTGATGTTGGCCTTAGTGAGTGCGTAGTAATTATTTGTAATCGTAGTATTAGTATTTCGAGATGACCGAATTACAAGAATCCAACCAAAACACAGAGAGGGCGGAATTCAGGAATTTTTATTTAGCGGAATTATTATGCAATTCAATTCATATAAGAAACATATTAACAATCAACAGTGAGTATTTAAACAATACAGAGATAGAAATGGTCAATCACCACATCCGCCACACGTCGAATATCTCCTTGCGTATTAATAACGATGTCTCGGTTTGCTTGCAAGTAGCTGCGACCTTCTAACTGATTCTGTGATATTATCTTCATCACTGTTATCTGGACTTATTTCAGAATTATCTACAAAATCAGGATTATTAACGGAATCATTGAAATTATTATTGGAACGACCTACTTCATTTATTGTCACTTTGTCCAGGTGTCTGTTATGAACTGAGTGATCTTTGATGTCTAATATCTTCACCACTCGATTTCCCATTTTTTGTAGTATAATTCCAACAGAAGGTCTATAATCATTACCTTTGTAATAATGTAGATTAAAAGTCGTGGACATCAGATGCTTTTTGAGAATTCGAGATTTGAAAAGTTTTGCAGGACTTTCACGGGTACTTGTATGCTCTGCATTCAACAGACGCAGTCTATGCATATGCAGCAATTCCTCCATTTTAATCAGTTGCTCTCTCATCTCATTCAGTTTTTCTCGTGTTTTCGAAAGTTCGCATTGTAACTCAGCTACCACATTTTTCAAAACGGTTGATGCTTGAGTTGCTGAACTTGTAGTGGAGGTTTTCATTGGATGAGATTGAGTATTTTGAAAAGTTGAAAGACACACTGACTCCATTTTACTAGACAGATTGGGAGAATTATAAGAATGTTGAGCAACATAAGTATTCGAACTTCTGCAAACAGTCTTGATGTGTCCAACTTTACCACATTTATGACACTTAGCACCCCGAAAACGGCAAGTGCTTCGTAGATGTAACTTTCCACAGGATAAACACGGTCTAATGTTTTTGATCTCTCGCTGCATTCTATTACCTGTGGACGACAATTTGGATTTCTTTCCATGAACACTTGTATTTTCGACTTTGGACAACATGACATCAGATACTGACGTAGTGGGAGCAGAGTATTCATTATTGACATCTTCATATGTGATACATAAATCTTTAGCAGTTTGAAAGGTACAAGAAGGAATCTGAATTAACTCTTTCTCTAACTTAGGAATATTGATTCCAGCAATTAGACGATCACGTAGTTGAGTATGCAGCTGATCTCCACAGTTACACTTTGAAGCTTGTATTTGAAGTTGAAGAATGAAGTCTCTAATCCTCTGATTGGGAGCACGAACCAGTTTGTTGAATTGAGCCCTCTGTCGCGTCTCAAAAGTAGTTATATGGAAGTGATCTATCAGAAGTTCGCGGAGCTTACCATATGGCAGAGAAATGGGTTTATCTGGAAACGCCAGATTCTTCACTAGAGTGTATGCATCTAGCCCAATAGCAGTGATGAAATATGCTGGTATTTTGTCATCCCAAACATTCTTGGAAATGCACCACGCGTCGAAGCATTCAAGGTAATCAACGATCTCCCGCAGAGAACCATTTATATGAAATTTTCCAGGTTATTTAGTTCCATCGCAACGTGAATTTGTTGTAATTATTTGTAATCGTAGTATTAGTATTTCGAGATGACCGAATTACAAGAATCCAACCAAAACACAGAGAGGGCGGAATTCAGGAATTTTTATTTAGCGGAATTATTATGCAATTCAATTCATATAAGAAACATATTAACAATCAACAGTGAGTATTTAAACAATACAGAGATAGAAATAGTCAATCACCACAGAAGGGTTTACAATTTAACATTTATACGAACCTGTTCCGATTGCTTGTTCAATAATGGAGCAATTTAAACTTTGCAAAAGTATGGTACATCAAGATTTTAATTTATAACATAACTGATCGTGGCTGTATAAATGGCATGCATTTCAAGTAAACTTACTCGTTTATACAAAATATAAATTATTATTATCTATTGAGTTAAGGTCCAGAAACCTGCTTACATGGCAGTTTTAGTGGCCACGGGCTTCATCGAGGCTACCTGAGCATGCACAACATTGTTTGAATGCAGAGAAAGCGTTGGTATAATTCCATGCATCTGTGGTTCATATCCTGCGAACCAAACAACTAAAATTCCTCATAATGACGACTGGACCGAAACCGAATGTGCATTGGTCATCAGAACCTGCTAGCTTTGGTAACTGCTGCATAGTCATGATCTTGCAACATTTTTACTAAGTTGTATGTGGCTCACTCACCCAATCACTGCTTAATCACTGCTTTCCTCATTAAGTCTGAAGGTAAGTTGGTGTATGCCACTTTCACTAAAAACGATTGGTGTTTTAAGTTTGGTAGTAAATAAAGTGGTTAGGGAAATGGATATTGAAGAAAATGCAGTCGTCACCCCATAACAGATACTTGGGCTGATACGACGAAATGTAGGACACTTGGTGAAAAACCATAATACAAAGCTGGGGTAGAGAAACACGCAATTAGAGTCTCGAGAATTGTTAATTTCCTGTGGCTTCCATAGAAAAACCACTGCATTGGTGTGATACACAGACTGACTAATAATCGTTATATGACTGATCTAATTAAAATTCAGTCTTTCTACCCCACTTATCACTCATGTTTGCAATAGCCTGAGTGTGATTAATCGCCTATGTAGCGTTGTCTTCACAGTTTTTTGAAGAGATAGCACTCATTTATTGATGACCATTATCCCAAAGTCCAAAATATATATGTCTTGTCACCCTTACAAACGGTCCTGAACAGCAAATTGATAAACACAGATTTGTTTTAATTGGGCCGGCGATTTAAACAAATATGAACTGATGCGTTTTGTGGGTGCCGCCAAAGGTAGTGTGTTGTGCAGGAGCAGTTATTTCAGATTTACTTGTCTATTACAGTTTCTGGGTGTTACTTCGTAGAATTTATTCATATTTCCAGTAGGGAAGTACTTGACTGAAATATATAACTAACTATTGCGTTACTAAGAAGTTAGATGTAGCAAACTTCAATGTTTTCGATCACGCGTCCAGTGTATTTAATTTCTTATTCAGGAGGAGCATCCCACTACTCATTCAGTCTCCAACATGGGAATATATTTGGCCACTACTCTATATGGGCCTTTCAAAGTGGAAAAGATTCAAGCGTAATAGTGCTCAGGAATATTGCTCTTACCCACCGAAATACTAGCTTTCGCTATCTGGATAGTATATTCTGTCGGCGTTTACTAGTCTCAGCGCGTTTGTTCAGCTCTCAATGTCAGTAATACTATACCAAGTAACTAGGCTTGGTACTGGTAACAGACACACTAAATGAAAAATTTGAAGGCCATTTCGAGGAATAATATCGCATTTTCCCTAATTTCTGCATTAATTTGCTTTTAAAATCCCCAAGAATACTCTGATAAGTTCTATTTGTCGAACCTCTGTGGGGAATCATCCTCGCTTCAGATTCAGTCACCACTGATAATCATATAGTTATAGGTGTCTTAAGGGCATTGGGATTTCGTAGTGATTGTGACACTTGTGTTTAATTCTGACTAGCTGTCCAAGGTAAGTAGTAAGTCCGGAAGGGGCGAATGCCATGATGTAACTCCGACCAAACTCAGGTGACGAGTTCCCAATTAAAAAAACCCAGTGGGAGTATTTGCACTAACGGCTTTCCGTCGGTACGTTGCTCGGACGCACTGAGTATTTCACAGGTGTTTCAAAGATTCACCACTGTCATACAAGGGTTTCCAAAGGTCTGTCTAAGTGAATCCACGGGACTGAAGTCATAAAAATACACTTATGGAAGTAATGAGTAAAGTAGCATGAAGCGGTTGCTCAGTATATCTTTTTTTGGTGTGACAATAATGCCTCAGTTTTGTACTGAGGTGTCGATAGAGTAACTTAACCACATTCTATACACTTATTCATCTATCTAGTCCTAAACCTAATCTGTTCAACCCTAAAGCATAACCATCTCTAAACTGGCCCTAATCTAACTGGAATCAACCCTAATATCATGATTATTAGGCTAACTTGACCTAAAACTTACTAGGTATCCCGCTCAGTCTGAAGACATTTCGTTAGGCACTTTGTATTCATGACAACCGTGTTATTCACCTGGTTCTACTAACTTGCACACTGAACATCCCAAAGTCATTGGCGTAATCGCACTCCTACGGTGCATGGAGTTTTACTGAGCAAACTTTGTTTCTGTCCAACTTGTTTTATTTCCAAATCTGCCAATTCTGTAAGCGCTTTCTTGAGATGATACCGTACCACAGGACCGCATATTTACCTCTCTGAGCTCAATTTGAGTTTACGGTTTTGCTTCAACGTTTTGGTAATATAGGTTGGTCAAGTGAGTTTGAGAGGTATTCACTTACCCACTCATCAGTGGAAACGGCATGATTGTTCCCAAAGTGTGTCGTCTTCCGCTTTTCTTGTGTAGGGGGCTGACGGTTTTGGTTTCTGTGAACTAGTTGTGCTATGCACCATATTCCAGTTCGTAAGTCACCTAAACTTGCTTTTTGTGACCCATTCCAAACAAGACGTCACGGCAATCTAGACGAAATAGTCGACTTCTGCAAGCGTTGCAATTGCACTGCTGGTTGTTGTGAGCATTACAAGGTTCCTAGGCTTTCCAGCAATTTTCTTACCCAACTTGTTATTTATTACTTCCTTTAATTCCTAGAAGAACAACCGCGCGTATCCATTGCGTTCGCTAGAGTTTTCACCTGGCTCCAAGTCCACTCACATGCTTTCATCTCTTCACATGACCTCATCCATGTAACACTTGGACGACCAACTCGCCGCTTCCCTTTCGGGTCTCACTCGAGGGCTTGTCGATGGTTTCCTCAGAGTATGGCCATCCATCTCCATTTCTTCTTGCCTATTTGTTTCATAATCAGTTCCTGGTTGGGTCGCTCACTGCCAGAGATCCCTGTTGCTGATCTTCTCTGACTGGCCATCTGATCTTGAGTGATATTTAGCGAAGACAACTGTTAATGAAGATCTGTAGTTTGTTTGATGTGCTCTTTATGACGCGCCAAGTCTCTGATCCGCATAGTAGCACTGACTTCACATTGAAGTTGAAAATCCGAATCTTATTTTTGAGTTCTGTTGACCTCCACACAGGCTTGAGAGTGATGAAAGCTTGTCTTGTTTTACCGATCCTTGCTTTGATATCCTCGTCAGTTCCTCCTGGAGTTGAGACGGTGCTTCCCAGTTAGGTAAAGGTTGTTTCTTTCAGGTTCCTCCCATTTATGCAGGCTGATTGTTGTCTGTTGTTGTCGCTGTGACTGTCGCTATTGCCCAGTAATCTTCATCACCTACCTTTGTTTTCTCTATGTTCACCTGAGGTCCTATCTTTTCTTGATGCTTCTCCCAACTTGTTGCTTTTCACTTGCATATCTTCCAGTTTTTGGGAAATCAGACATATATCATCGGCGAAGTCCACATCCTCCAAGCTTTTTTGTGGGCCAATTTTATGCCTGTTTCCTCTCTTGCCCGCTGTCTGTCGCATTATGCAGTCTGCCGTAATCAGGAAAATCAACTGTTTTTGTTGCTCGTCGATGCACTGGATAGCTTTTTATTTCACTATCCTTCTCTTCCCTATTGGTCTCCATGTGTCTGTAGTGAGCCACTGTTTTTTCTGTCTCTTCTTTCTGCCTAGAACTTCCGTGCAGGTTTGACTCCACACAGATTTCAGGCTGTTTCAGTGCTTCTCAACGCTGACCTCTTCGCTAGAGTTGCTTTGTGTCTCCACCTTTTTCCTTGTGATTGTAGTGAAGATATCCTTTGTATCCTGATCATTGAGTTTTTGAGTATTGAACTTGGCCTGTGTCGCTTGTTTCCTTGAAAGTTCTTCATTTGATTCGGATTGTTTCTTGTACGAGATAGTGGTGTGAGCCAACGTCTGCTCCTCTTCTTACTTTTGTGTCCAGTAAGCTGCGTCTGCACTTCCTTGAGATTGAGATGAAGTGAGTTTAGTTTTTGGTTCGCCCATCCGGTGACACCCATGTATCCTTGTAGATATCCTTATGTTTGTATACGCTGCCACCAATCACTAGTTCATTGAAGGCACAGAAGTCGACAAAGTGTTCTCCATTTTCATTCGTTTCTTCGAGAGCTTTTCTACCCATGATGAATTCTCTTCCTGTGTTGTCTGGTCTCAGTTTGGCGTTCATGTCTCCCATTAGTATTTTAGTGTCACCGACTGGAGTATTGTCCATTGTTGCCTGTAGTTGTCTGTAGAATTCTTCTTTTCGAGGTCTGCGTTGTTTGTGGGTGCATAGCACTGTATAACTGACACTTTCCTTCCTTCGGAGTTGAATCTGGTGGTGATTATCCTGGGCGAGATCGCCTCCCATTGCATCAGGGCCTTCGTTGCCGTTGGTGACACCATGATAGCCAAATCCTCGGTGTACTCGTGAAGTAGATCACTGATTCTCCCTTTGATGTTTTAGTGAGACCACTTCCATTCCATCTGCTTTTGCATATTCCCATTACTTGAATACCATATCTTTTCACCTCGTTTGCAATCTGTTCAGCTTTGCCAGTCTCGTACATGGTGCGGACGTTCCATGTCCCTATACATATTTTTATTTTTTCGCAAGGAGACACATCGTACTGAGGTTTCTGTAGCAGCTTTGTTTACAGGATGGAGTTGCAAGCCTCACACTTGAGAAGGAGGTTGTTACATTAAAATATAGTTTACGGAGAAGCGACCTTGTGGGTTCCTTCCCTTAAAACCAGGAATAAAGCAATAAGTGGAACACCGAAAATAGGAAAATAATTCACAACTGGAAGGGAAACAAGCGATAGCAACAATAAAAAAACCCTTAGCAGTAGTATCACGATCAGATGCAGTTAACAAAAATGATGCCAAAATCATAGACTCACTGAGTTGAGCCAACTTGGACATGTAAGTCCATCAATGTATGCAATAATAAATATTAGTGTTAGACAGTCATAGAACGGCAATCAGATAGTAATAGGTATAATCGGTAAACAAGATTATATCCACAGGTTCAGAGTTCCACAACTTCTTGGCAAGAAATGCCACAGAAACAAGAGTATTTTTGACCTAAGCTTGAATTTTTATAGGCTTTAAGTCTACTTCACAGTATCCTTGTATTGCAATGTGCATACTATCCATTTAATAAGTGGTTCCACATTGCGCTATAATGAAAACTCATGAAAATCTGTAAGAATTGCAGTCTATCGTATACTCATTTGGTTCACAGGCAGACGGAGAAATCAGAGTAATGTGATGGAAGGATATATAAATGAGGGAGAATTATTGAGTGGGGATTTAATGCATCAAGATCACAATGACTATATCTGCACTACGAAGAACGATTTTGAGCCGTATCAATGACAGTCTCAGGTTATTGGTTCGTAGCTTCTCGAGGACTCCAACCAGGGACTTTACATGTAAATAGCTAAAACTAACAGGAACTCGATAAATTAGCACCAGATATCTATTTGACCAATCACTCTTCTCAAGCATAATCCTCTGTCAACTAACACTGCTTGTATGGGATGGCGGCGGCTCAAAATATGTAACGTATCTTAGTCATCTGAATCGATGCAGCTTCATAACTTTGCCGATTAACTTCCTCTCCTTACCTGACACTCGACGCCCAAACTCAACACCACTTTGTTCCATAACATGGGCGATAGTTTACAAACATCTGTGGTTTAAAGCAGCTAGCCCCTTCGAGTCTTCCACTTTAACATCCACAGTGAACGGCTGGGAAAATTGCTACGCAGTACCCTCGTCATCTGACCGGTAGCCAAATATCACGTCTACACCAAACATGACGTAAGTTTGCAAGTGTTTCACAGGCCTTTGCACCGGTGCCGGGATTTCTCCATCAATCAATCTTTTAGGGCTAACACAACTTACCAGTCTCATTTTGAACGTTCTGGGTTTCCACTCAAGACGTTGGGAAGACTGCATGTTTTCGGTGTCTTCACGCGGAAGCATAATATAACGCTCGTAGTCTAAGTCAAGGACACTGTCTCCTAGTAACAATTCAATCCCTAAGTTACCGAAGTCGATCAGAGTCTCATCCATTAGTACATCTACGGTGAAATCAAACATAAAATGGCGACCCTTGATGGTTTCTACTGGCTATCATCGCTTTAGATGACAGCTTTCCATAAGCTGATCATTATCGGCATGTGCTTTCATCAAATTCATTCTATGATAGCACTACACTTTACCACACTAAGTTTTATTCTTATATCGGCTGCTGTGAACAATGATGGTGTGATTCTTGTGTAGATCAGTCATAAGCAATAGGTAACATCCACCACCTGTTTAGGAACATCGGTGAAGGAGGATTTACAAAGCCTTTCGTAACTGAAATTACTTCTTAGATGAATGGAGATTTACTAACTGAAGGTAGGTGTTCAGGACGTTTAGTAAAACAGTTCAATTGACCCATGGGTACACTACACAGCTGTCACACTACCTCAGCCTCAATGAAATGTACCTAGTGGTCTCTGAGGTCAAAGATGTAGTATAGGGGAGGACCTGATTATCTGACTCCAGAGAAGGCTAAGGATTGTGATGAATTTTCTACCAGATTAAACTACTTGTTGCTGTGTAGAAATAGATAATCCAATCGTATCGGTGTAGACACTTGCTCACCCCAGTTAATAAAAAAGTGCGAAAATCATGTTACAAGTATGGGAGCATTACCTTGACCAATAGTGTATCTGTGAACATGGTGTTCATTCGTACGGTGACTAAGTAAAGCTCAAGAGTGATGCTTCTAAAGTCTCTTATTACAACATTAATTGTGAGTAATTGGTTATGTATTCGGGTAAATATACCCTTAGGACTAACGTGATACTACGTATATTTAATACTCTGGTTACATTCCTAACTAATAAGACGTTTAATTCTTCTTCAGGTACGGCTATTTTGTCGTGTTGTTAGGCTGTTTTATACCTTCAAATCTATTTTTTGAACGTCTCATGAGCTTGTTCTTGTATGTTTCTATTACTGCCGCCATGTTTCGAATGCAGTTGTAGTTTTATTAGTTTCGATTTTCGATTATTAATCATGTTTACATTCACTTCCTGGATAGTCCGTATTATGAACCTAGACTATATAGTGCGCAAATCTGTATCAGGTGTTTTATCCCAGTAGTATTGTTGTCTCTCCATCAGCTTTATGTAATTAATCAGCAGAAGTTCAACATAGTTTCCTGAATAAGTAGTGGCGGAATTTAATCACCATTTGACTGTAGTAGTATCTATTTTCAAGCTGCTAGGTATTTAAATGCCTGTGTCACTGTATTTGAGTACTATTTTTTCGTGTTATATAATTGTTCCTGTGATTGGCCTTTTAGATGCCTCTTATCAGTGCAAAACCACATGTACTGAATCCAATCTGGAAGAAAAAGAAACCTCGTGACTCAGAACATCCCGAAGAACTTGAGTCTAAACCGGAATTTATTGTTCCAGAAACACAAGAAATTTGTACGTCTGCTGAAGAATTGCAACGAAAAAGTACAATTTATAATGAAAGTATATGGACATGTCGTGTTACTGGAAAGTCAAATCTCACTTACCGTGAAGCACTGAAAACCGAGGCAACCGCGATTAAGACGTTGAAAAAATGCTTCCCGAAATTTTTTGAAAAAACTATTCTAGAGCGTATTCACTTAAGTAAGCGAATTTAAACTGCATACTTAATTATGTTATTAAGGTACTTTACCTCTAGAATCTCTGGTGCACAATTGCTGGACTGCGATACATGAACAGTTTCATATCGCTGAACCTGTAAAACTTAAAGTTGACTCTGCTTCCAGTATACCGTAAGTTCAAGCAAGTTGAATCTTTACTTTTCATTAGCATACGTGGAATCATTGATGATATAATTAAATCTCAACCTGTACCGGTAGGTTTAGAATCCTGTTAACTATATTTGGTTTTTTAGCCACCTGTTCCAGACAATACTTCACCAAATAACAGTGATAAAGAAAATGTTACAAGAAAGAATTCACCTGTCAAAGTAGTTTATTTAATTTTCCTGAAATATGCTCCTAGAAAGATTATGCATACAGTATTAAAGTGCTCGCAGACATCCCAGTTGTCGTACATGATATTCCAGCTTGTTCAATAGAGTAAGATATCCGTATTTTTATAATTGCCGTTGGTATAGTCGTGTCAGTCGTGCACCATCCAAAGAACACATTCGGATGTTTATTCGCAGTCATGCTATGCGTTACGGTCCAAATTTTACGGGTCCATGGATTGTAAACGAAGAGCTTCTACGACGTCATAAGATACCCTTGAAAAGCCCTGGATTTCAAGTTGATAAAGTCAAGGTAATTTTTAGTTTGAATTCCTACGTTCGGTATCTTAATGGTGAAAAGAAATCAGTATGGCTTCTTTCTCTCACTACCTTTCATACACTGCTCATTCTCATCCATACGTTTAAATTTGCAGTTATGCTTAAAGTCAACGAATCACCAACCAAAATGGGATGAGAAAGTCGTCCTTTGCTTCAATTAAGCTGATAGCATTGCCTTAAATGGATGGTGCGTTCTGTCTGTTTGTTTTCGACATAGAACTTCGCACATGTGTGCGGCGGTTCAAGTCGCCACAATCCCTCCTTGTAGCACACAAAGCAACAGAAGAAAGTAGAAAAAAAGTGCATAATAGAGACAGTAAACACAGGTGTGAGACAAAGGAATAGTAACAACGAAGAACAATATAGTTTCATTGGAACTTATAAGCCACAAGGAGTGGTTGCATCTGCGCCAGCCGGTCATTGAGAACGATTTTGAGCCATATCACCAATTGTTTCCAGCCTCCATTGGTTTTTACCGTCTTGAGGACCCCAGCCGATCAGGAAGTCTACACCGTCAGTGTAGTCCAGTCCTGTAACATCATCTTACATGGTGGGTTAGATCAACAAGAGTTGGCTATTTCTCACCAACAACTCTTCAGAGGTAACGGTACGGAGTTCTGGATCAAATTAGGAAAGGCGTTAGCTAGCTGGTAGGAATAAGAAATGATTTTGCCACCTCACTTCATCAAAAAACCGTTGTTATACTCACAGGATCCTAGCATTTATAAACATTAAATGACGCGTACTGTGTCATTTTCCAAGCTTCTTCACCCACCCGGGGCAGCTGATTCTGTTGATAAAGATGTAGCTGCAGGATTCGACTTTAAGTAATGTGGAAAAAGTGCCGTTTACTGATACAGTAAACATGACTGTATAACACTGTGAGACTTTATCAAAACAAAAATTTACCCATAATGGAATTATACTCTACAACAGTGCACAAGTTTTATTCTTTTATCAGCGGAAAAAGTGCATCGTGCTAATAAAGATTATTTGCTTAATTAGCACGGGGAGCAAAGATTACTCATAGTTTCGGCTAGGGCTACACACCATCATTTGATGACGACATCCCAGCACGGGTGCAAAATCCCATTTTGGCATTTACCAACCTGTATCATCATCTCGGGCATAATATCCGGTTGTTCATAGGAAATATGTACTGTGCAACAGTTTGCTATGCCCCCACTTTAAGGCTATATAAGATGACCACTGGAGAGACTAACCATTTTTTTCACTACAATTCCGTTGAATCTCGTGTTAGGGTGATATAACGTGGTCAGTTATATTGAGGTTCAGTCTAGAGTATTAGATACAGAAGGAAAGCCAGTTGATGAGATAGTAAAGCTGCATCAGTCGGAATATCTGGAACATGTGTACTACGTATGCCTAAACATCGCTTTTCTCGTAAAGCTATGTCAAGTGGGACAAGACTATATTGGTAGAGTTAAGTGCAGTGCCATGCTAAAACAATACACCATTTCAAAGTCTGACTGTTGGTTGTAGCCACATAGGGAGATGTAGATTGTGTGGCTGTAGTCCCCCGGGTCGCTAAGAATCAGTGGTTGGAAACTTTCTGACATGGCTCAAAACCACTGCTAAATTCTACGTTGATATAATCCAATTATTCAGTGAATACTCACTTCAATCACACTTATGTACATGTATATGTTTACGAATTGATCTGCTTGGGCTCTGTATCATACCTCAGTTTCCCCTTGATCATTTTAACTCCTATAGTTGAAACAAATGTCAAAAACCCTTGAGGAGGAGTACTTCATTCGCATTATGAATTCACGACGTCAAGCCAATGGAGAGGGTACATCTGAAGATGTTTCCACTAGCACACCACTTAATTTCAAACGTATCAAACGCTTTTCTGTACTTCGTGATGATAGCACTAGTAGACAAAGGGAGGAGAATGAGGACGACCTACCATTGGCACAGTTAAAAGATCGCAGTCAAGCTAAACAATCATCATCAGATGATGGCAGTAAAAAGAAAATGAAACAGGTTTGTTGTACAATCTCTTCTTTTTGTTGAAATGTATTTAATGTCGTGTGTTTTCGAAATTTCTTCAAGTGTGTCTATAATGCAATTGTGATGAAGTCATTGTTATTCATTTTTCAGTAAATTTGTTTAGTTTTATAAAGCCATATGTTTGCGGTCTGGTGTAACTCGGTTTTGACTTTGATAACGAATAACATCCTCGTGACAGACTTCTCTTTATTTTCAAGCTAACGATGTCCTTAAATACTTCTTTCGTCCTATTTTGGTATACTGTCAGAAGTTCTAGCTTGCGTAGGACGCACTTTTCCGGTATATTACGTTTAGTCTAAGTGTAATACGGATTTTCCACATGAATAAATATGTAGTGTGCTGTATGTCTCCATTGTGCGTGGAACCAGATATATTTCAGATGGCTGTGCAGTTCAATGTTATGTATTTGCTGATTTGATGCACATCTCGATCGTTATCAAAGCTACATCACATTACATACTAATGTCAGTTTACGGTAGCTTTTGACACGTAAAATCTTTTATTGTTTACTGCTTAAAAACATCCACATTGTCTTTTTGTATCGTTTTGTACAAATCTTCATAGGGAGGGGTGATCAGACCTTTCTGAGTCTCCTCTCCCCGGAGACAGGCAGCATAGTTTACTAGCCGTTTCAGGGAGGCGTCTTGCTGCGATTAACCCCTTAATCGCTAGTTGTATTGCTTGTCCCCCAGACCCAACTCAATGTAAAGGACTTACACTTTTGGTGTAACCTTTATCCGAACAACCTTAATGGCATTACAGGGACTGCCAGTGTAGTTCCTTAGGCCATTACAATATGCAAGCCAGATGAACAGGTCAATAGGAATACGATTGTAACTGATTTTACCAAATGTAAGTCATCATGTATCAATGAGTAGCATCCGATAAAATTAGAGTAGATTGGTAAAAAGCATTCGTAAATTCAATGATGATGATTATTAGTCAACTTAGTTCCTGTCCACTAAACGTTAAATGTAACAGGTTGATTCACCTTATTCAAAAATCGACTGTTGAATTAAAAAAAAACTGTATATTCTCTGTCTTACTGGAATACCTTCTCATAATTGTAACTTTCACTTCAAATTTCTTGTTTTCTTTTGTGGTTTGTTATTCCATTTACCTTACCCTAAACCATCCTCATTTTCTGGTCTTTACTGCCGGCTAATTGTGGTTTAGGAGAGCGTCAGTTGGAAATCGAATCTGGATCATGTGATTGTTCTAGCGAGTATTCTACCTCCGAACCATAGACGTACACTCTATCCAGTTTTTTCTTTTTCCTTCACGTTCCCAGTGGAACATAGGGCCTCAAGCTAGTAGCTTGAAGTTTCTGTAGCAGTGTTTAATTTTACAGGATAGGGTTGTTAGCCTCATGCCTAACCTTTTCTCAACATCAGCATTATTTCTGGCTTAGCGAGGTAAAGGAGTGCGTCTGTGGCCGGGGATCGAACTCCGGACCATGTGCATGGTCGGCGAGCGTCCCATCCAGTATGACTGGTAAATTATTGTACTAAATTCCAAGTTCTGTCTGTATGGTATTTTGTTCACACTCGACTACATATGAAGCTAAGGTCTACAGATCTAGGTGCGCAAATTTCAACCACTGTGTCATGCACTCGAATCCCGCTTCACCTATTATCATTTTCAACTGCATAGAAATGCTGGTGACCATTGAGCAGCTAGACTACACAGCTCCGTTTGCCGTTGACTTTTTTTTACAGTGGAGATCCCTACTTCGTTATGTCTGAAGTGCTGTATATCAATAACAAATTTGTATCATTTTCTAACATAAGAGTTATTTATTATTTATACTTTAAGATTATATTCCCTTACCATTGAAATTTTTAATTCATTGGTGTAATTTTTTCCCCCATACTCTTAGGCCACTTTGTTTCAATTTGGTAAGAAGGATTCTTCTAAGGAGGAAGCTACAGACTCATCAACTGTCAATCGTCCTAAAAAGAGTGTATTACCTCGAGTTGCTCAACATCTTATAAAAATGTTTGAAGAAAATAAAGATAATCCGGCAATTGAAAATCAAATAAAAGTTTGTGCAAAATTCATCACTGATATTGATCTGCTGAAGTTGCCAGTTGAATTACGTGATCGTGTTCGAGAAAAGAAAGAGGAGTTCGAATTCAGAAAAAAATTGTATGTCCTCATTTGATTTGCAGTGGTAATAGAATTAATGCAGTTAGACTACCTACCTGGTACACATGTGTTAAGTGTTAGATAATGAGAGCTCTTTATATTGCCCAGTTGTCAAAGGTGACAGTCTGGCTACGGCTCTTTGGTTCGACTTTCAACCAAGTCGATCACGGGTTTGAACCTCGCTCCAGGCACCGAGGTATGGGCAACACCGGGTAGTATATATATATATATATAGGTGTGTTGTGATGTGGTTCAGTGGCTTGAGCGCTCAATTTTCAACCACTTGGATACGGTTTCGAGTCCCACTCCATCTGCCTCAGCCTGGGTAACAAGGTAACCAGCCCTCATATGTCTCTCAGCTTAGTACATGATAAATCTGTTTTGAATAAATGAGACTTAGCAAACAAACAACATGTGTGGCTCATTACCAGTATCATGGAATCGCAAATGGTTGTTGAGTAACGTTGAGCTGAATTTGACTGAGTAAATCGGGCTTTATATCCGAAACCTACTAGCCTGATAGTCAAGTGCTTAATCGTGGAGATTTGGCTCACTGACAGCTTTCAACCAGTGGGTCAGGGTTTCAAATCTTACTCCACTTACTTCATTCTCGGTAGTCGGATCGTGTGTTTACCCTCACACGATATATGTAGCACCCAACCTGGTACATAAAACATATGTTCTGGTTAATCGGGTTCAAACAAGTGCTTAAATTAATGGGCCATGCTTTCGCTCCTCAACGCTTAGTTCTATTCTGTACTCTCCTCAGTAACTCATCACCCTGATGTGCTGTTACAGCTGTAATTCTGTTATTAAAAATCTTGAGCGCAAAGTTCTTTGCTAGATGGTGACTGACAGTGGTGGAATCCAGGATGTGCATTTCCTCCTATCTGGGTCTCGTCGTCTGGATGTAACTGCATCCCCAACAAATGGAAGTGTTCCTAACGGGACTCGAATGCTGCACCTTTTTGCACAAAAGGTGGCTCAGTAGATAACGGTGTTTTATTCGAGTCTCAACGGGAACAACATCATTCACTGGGAATCCGTAGTTACTGATCACTGGCTCTTTTCATTCTGAAACATAATATATGGATGTGGATTCACGGTTCATTGTTCTAGATATTTGTCTTTTAGTTTCAAATCCCACTTCACTTATCGAGGTTTAGGCAGGTAGGCAGGGTAAAAGGTGAACATGCCATTAATTTAGTGTATATGAAATTTCACTTATTTATTGAAACATCCCTCATTCAAAGAATTTATCTGTTAATGCATCTTTTTACGTGTTGAGAAATTTTGAACACCCACTTTCACCGTCGTTTCCTCTCTGTATTTCAATTTCTAGAATGGCTATGACACCAGCTGAGCGAAAGGAAGCACTTCAAGAAATGAAAGAAAAACGGAAAATAGAGCGTATTCATGCCAATAAGTTAATTGATGATTTACAGCTTACAAAATCTCTACCTCAATGTCCCTGTTTACCTAAACCTTCTAAGCTTGAATTCCCTACTGGTTTTACAGAATCCCTATTTGGACGTTTACTAGGATTAACAGAATTTTTCCACATATTCCATAACCTGCTTGTTGAAGGATCTATGGACGATGCTGATGCAGATAATGCAGCTGACAATACTATCGTCTCTCCGGTTGACTCTTTGGTACCTAGTTATGGTGAACCCGGGTATTCTGATGACGATGATGAAGGCAATACTGATGAAGAGGAAGGGGAGGCAGAGTTAACTGAGTCAACTGCTCCACTTCCTAAAATATGCATCAAGGCCTTACGTCGTCTTGGATTGAAACGTCTTCTCAATGCTATTACAACCAATAAACCAACAGTTGGTGCATATCGATCATTAGCTCGCCCACTGAGTGTACTATTACGCTTAGTTTTGAAAGATGAACAGTTAAGTGTAAGTAACTATAGTTTGTTCTGTTAAAAAAATTCATTCTTAATTACATTTAATTCCTAATTGTGGTGGATTATGCGTCAGAGAGTGGGAAACGAGAAGACAAGGATATTATCCTGGACCGACGTGAAGAACCTAGAAGACCTGGATTTCGCGCGTGGATGATTTATGTTTGGTGTCGCACAAAATCGAAGACTTACAAGCGAAAACCGACAAACTGGTCGAAGAAGCAGCCGGCGAAGACAAGACTCCAAGTGAACATAGACAAGACGGAGGTTATAAAAATAACCAACCAACAACAACTACAGCAGAAACATCCAGCGCCAATCACCATCAACGGGAGGGATTTGAAAGAGGTTACTTCATTCATTCTCTTACCTAGGGAGCATCGCAACTACAGGAAGTCGGAACGGACGAGGATGTCAAATCGAGCGAGAATCGGGAAGGCGAGAGACCACACATTCATCAACCTAAAACAACTAATCTGGAAATCTTCGTCACTCAGCCAGCATCAACAACAAAATTCGGTTGGATTTTCAATACAATACAAATAACGTCAAGTCAGTCAGTTCTTCTATACAGATCAGAAACTTGGCGGGCGGGTGACAAAGAATATTTCCAACAGCCTGTTGCAGACCTTTATCAACCAACAACTATCTTCGCTGGCTCTATACTGAAAATCAGATGGCCGGGCCGGAAAGAATCACCAACAAGAAACTATGGGCACAAACAAGCAAAATAAGAACCAATCGCCGCCCAACAAATATGCAGGAGAAAGTGGAGATGGGTGGATTGGACACTTGCTCGCTGAGAAGACCGCTGGGTGACATCGCACGCGCGTCAGGCCATTTCTCGAGTGGAACCAGGCCGAAAGGGAAGCGGCGAGTGGGATGTCAGTGCAAGGGTGACATGGAGGAGATCGTGTGAAGAGAGAGGAGTTGAAACAGTCAGTAGGGACTAAGATGGATGCAGGTGAAAAGTACAGCAGGGGGAAGACAGAAGCAAGTGGAGACGTTCAGTTGAAGCCTTATTTTCCACTAGGAACCCAAGGGAACAATAATAATAATACAACGGAGGAATGTTCGATAGACTTCAATTCGTTTGTGTGTACATTGGTTGTACTTTAAATTATTGTCTATTAGTCATTCAGTCACGTGGTAAGGCATGTGCTCACTAATGTAGTTTATTTACTCGTTTTAAATTGTTCGTCAGCGTGTAACTATTTTTAAAACCTCAAATAGATTGCATTACTATTAGGTACTGATGTATACAGAACTACCGCTCTTTCTGTGTCACTTGGTTGAATTTCGATCAGGCTATGGTGTGTGTGGCAGGTTTGTTTTGAGATTTGCTAACTACCGTAAAGATCTCCCACAACAGGTTGACGTGAGTAAACCGGTATTACCTGCTACCGCTGCTAGTTATCAGAATGAGTTTGATTCAAGGTGAGCTGTTAACCCTCGAATGGTACAAAGAAATATTGGCTGCACTTATAACTTACTGTGAAAATGGCGTATAAAGCTGCTTGCAGCCGTCGGATGTACAAAGCTTCTATGCTCTCAACCTTGCTCTACACCTGTAAGATCTGATCTCCGAGCTGAAGATGTGCGAATACTTCACATCCGATCATCATTGTCTCCTTAGGATTGCTTGTATAAGATGGCATTGTCATGGAAGTAATTCTTAGGTCCTGGGAGTGCCTGAACACGGTAGTGATGATCATTCAGGTAGCGTTGTTATCTCAGAGCACCGGCTTCGATGACTGTAACATATACTACGGATGTCATCTCATGAGATCCTTTGTCGTTCACTGTTTGGCACTGAGTTGGATAAGTGGAGGGGTACTCCATTGTGGGTAAAATTTATTTTGATTATGTCTCACAGTGTTACACAGTAATATTTACTGATGATGTTTCGAGCACAATTTATTACTCATACTCATATCAAGTTGATTGGAATTATACTCTACCACAGTGCACAAAGTCTATTTTTATATCAGTGGAGGCGTACTCAACCGAAGCAGCGCCGTGAGATGAAGGATAATTGTGTTAGGTTAGCTGCTGTTGGTGCAAAACAACTCCCTAAGCGGGGTGTACGAGACAATTCGAGCCAGTGGCTCGAGACGTTATCGGATTTGGTGGAGAGTTGTTAACAGTGGTGAAAACACACTATTCCTCTTCTCTTCCCTAAAGTAACATGAAATGGTAAAGCATCCTTTGAATGTTCGTGGTAGGTATGCTTACTTGTTCCCTTAGTGCTGTTTCTCAATTATCCTATTTCTATTTTCCTTATATAGTCGTTTCATTATCTGTGTGTGGCCCATCTTGTTATTCCCATGCTTTGCCAAGTGTACTCAAACAAAATAATGTCTACAACCATTGCAAATGTAATAAAGCGTTCTATTGTTCGTAGGTATTTATTTACTATCTTCAGTAATTTTTGTGATAAATTATAACATGCAAGATTACATTTCTGATTTTTAGAAAAAACGTGAATTGGGAATAAAACTTGCCAAATTCCCTGTTACACCGTATACAGCGCCTGAACTGCTCAGATTGACTCTTCTGCATGAGGTTCCATTGAATCATTCTCCTATAGTTAAATCAGAAGAATTCTTAAAACACGATAATTCAGTCACAGAGCTCAAGGTAAGTTGTATAGAATTACACTTTGTTATTGTTACTTGACTGATTAATTGTTTTTTCTTTGGTAAAATCATGTTTGCAATGTCATCTGTGTAATTAAGAACTTGTCACCGTCATCAGTTCTGTTTTGCTATAATGAACCTATCTTGTTCTCGAGAATTGCGTTTTTCACTGCATCAAAATGGAACTGCCTATTTCAACAGTTTAGATGTCTTCGAAATTGCATGGAGGATTTCACCATGAGCTGACATCAGTTAGAGAACCACTGGAAAACCTGGGTTCGAACCCCAGTGGGTGCGTACTGCTGTAGAGTCCCAAACTAGGACGAAACAGTTGTCTAGTACTCCCAGGTTTTCAGTGGTTCTCTAGCTGATGTCATCTCATGGTGAAATCCTCCATGCAATCAAACAAAATCCCTACAAATCCAATACTTGAAGAGTCTTCAAAAATACCTAACATTTTCTTTCCGTTCATCTAATCATTTTTTTGAGTACAATCGGTATACAAAATTGAAATAATCTAAGGAGCAAGGGAAAGACGAATAAAGAAAACCAGAAATTCGTACTCAGACATAAGCATTATACTGACATGACATCAGACTGTCGATTGAAGGAATGTCTACATTGTGCAGGTGTTCCTTCTTTTGGTCTTCGGAAGTGGAAGACGTGAAGAGGCTAGCTCTTTTTGACCACATATATTTGCGTTTCATCCTCCGTATTCACTGGTATAGTTTGGTAAGTTATGTTTCAGGACAGCTATAGAGTGTTTGGTGAGGAGAGGTTAGGTTATATCGATTTAGATAGTTGACACGTTTCGCATGCCAAGCTATCGCTTTCCTCACCATCCAGTGTTAGCTGACGGGGGATTAGCTTAGAAAATAATGAGAGGTGGTCAGATCAAAGCTTATCATCAGTCCATGAAATCCTCAATGGTAGTTTTGAGCCAAGCAGGGAGGTGTGGACTGCCTAGTTGGGGTTATCAGGATTCTATGATCCATTGGTTTGTGACTATTGGTGATATGGTCCGAAATCGTTTTGAATGGTACAGACATATGTACTGCCTTTGATGTCCCTGACACGTTAGGTCATGTTTCTTCGTTTTACTATTCTTTCTCCCGTACATTTCTTTTTTCTACCTTTGTGTGCCATGTGAACTTTGGCAATTTTAACTGCTGCACTCCTCTGCAAAGTTCTATGTTGTAAGTCAGTTAGTTATTATACACACTGACTGTATTAGTGTCGTGATGTAGTTAAAGGCATCAAGCAATTTGCATAAGTAGATGACGAAAACTTACATCAAAGTTGTATATCGACAACTTTTAGTAGTCGTTTTCATTACGCTTTGTCCACATGTGTGTGTTTACCAATTCACCTGCTCATGTGAAGCTAGGTATATCGGTTGTTCAACTTGAGTTTTGTCCAAGAGGGTGCAAGAACACTATCCTGCATGGTTACGAAAAGGTGGAAGTGGAGCAAGAAGAAGCGCACTCATTAAACATCTGGTCAATACTGATCACCCTATCTCTACAACCTCCTCCTTTAAAGTTATCTACCAGGCAAAACTTAATTTACCCAAATCACTACGTACCCAACTCTTCTGTATTGCTGAAGCTTTGGCTATCGAAACCGAAAAGCCAGGTCTCTGTATACAGAAAACATTCGTTCAATCCCTTCAACTTTCATGGTCTTAATGGCTGCATTCTAAAGTATAGTGATCACTAATCATATTTGACTCTACCAATTTTTTCGTTTTGTCTATTCAGTTTGTACACTCTTCCTTCATTATGTCGATTATCACTATTAATATTAATTCACTCGTTCCACTTGCCGTTCTAAATTAATTATGTTTTGCAACGTTAAATTCCATGCTGTCGAATTTTACACAATGTTACATAACGTCTTTATTTTATTCGATTCGCCTACTGGTCCTATAATTGCACACTCCTTCCAAGTTCTATACATCCTATGAATTATTATATATATATTATATATATATATATATATATATGACATTAATTGTTTCGCCACTTGACATTTAACTATGATTATCATCACAAACATTGCTTCTCATACTATCACATTTCATACTATTATTATTTGATTCAATTCCTTCATCGAATATAATTTCTTAAAAACCATATACATATATATAAGGGCGACGAAATCTCAGCACGGATCCAAAAAGCTCGAGCTGATTTCGCTAACTTACACCATCTCTGGCGTAAACGTGATATCCGGCTATCAACCAAGGGACGTGGGTACTGCTCATCAGTTCGCACCATCCTTCTCTATGGCTCTGAAACTTGACCAATACGAGTCGAAGACATGAAAAGGTTGACTGCTTTCGATCATAGATGTCTGCGATCTCTTTCTCACGTTAGGTGGTTTAATAAGGTAAGTAATATTGACATTAGGCGTAGAGTGTTGGGCAAAGAGGGAAAATCAATCGACGAAGCTATAAAGCTACATAGACTGAAATGGCTAGGTCACGTGCTGCGCATGTCTAACCATCGCCTCCCCCGACGACGGGCATTACTAGCTGATATAGGTGTAGGTTGGGAAAGAGCCAGTGGTGGCCAAACAAAAACATGGCCTAGTCAGTCCATGGAATCCTTAACAGTTAAACTGAGTCAGGTAGGGAGATGCAGACTCCCGGGTTGGGACTCTAGGAATCAATGGCTAGAGACAATAGGTGACATGGCTGAAAATCGTTGTCAATGGCCAGTGCAGATGTATTCAGTCTCTGTAATCTTTCATATTCCTTTCTACCATTACCCATTCTGTTTCACTCTTATACTTGTCAAACTCTATTGATTCTCTTCGCTCATCTAATTGTCTACCTTTGTGTGGTATTTGGAAGGTGGCAACTCGAACTGGTGCACTTCGGTGCCAAGTTCTATGTTTAACCCAGACAGACAGACTTGATAAAAAATTCGTTGTTGAAAAGAGTTTCTTCGCTGAATCGCTTGTTTTGATTTGCTACATTTTCAAGTGTTCCTTGGGTCATTTAACCTTGGTACTTAGAACTAGTTTTTTTTTGCTTTACGTCACAACTTTTACCGTGTAAGAAAGAACTCAAGTCAATATATATTTTACTGCATTAAGCAAGAAGAAGATTACTTGTTCTTTTTTTAAAATTCATATATATTCGAAGAGGTTATTCACGATATATGTATGGCATTACACGGTTCATATTCTCTCGAAAATACCTATGCTTAAGCAGTTGTGCGTTTTAATGTTTAGTGGTTCATGCAGTATGTATTTTATTTTTCTTCAAAATAAAACTTTTTATAGCAGTTTGAACGGAGCACTGTGATACAACTCGTGCATCACTTATCAAACTCTGATCTGCATGAACTATTTCCGGAAGCCCGTGTATTAGCTTTAGAATCAGCTGTTGAAAAGATTTTCGATCTTGATCTTATTGATGATCATATTATGGCATGTCAGCGTCGAGCAACTGAAGCCTATCTAAAGAAGATTCAGGTGTTACGTGATAAGAATATACGAAAGAAGGACAAGAAAGATAATGCAGTCGAAACTGGCAAAGTCAATGGTACACCATCTACAAATCAAAATAATGAGTCTCTATCGAAGACGGAGACTTCTGCGACGACAGAGCAAAAGGACAATGCTGAGTTCGATAGTAAGCGTTTTATAACACAGGGTCATTTTCTAATGAATGTCATATTGTTCCTTATTTTTGATCATTTTTATTTTCACTGTTATTATAGTGATTATTACTATTAAACCACTGAGTTCCATGTGAAACATGCGACTTCAGCCATGCGTCGCCATTACATTTTGTCCTTTGAAGTCTTTTTCAGCTGGTTCCAGGATTACCTATAAGCCTTCATATCTCCTACAAGTCACCATCGGACGCCCAACTCTTCCCACTCATAGGCCTGATGTGTCATCTCAGTCAATGTTTTCATTGTGTCTTCAGTCCCACCCCCATTTTCTTTTGGGAATTTGTTGAGTGTGATAGATTCTTGGTTGATTTGTTGCCAAACTTCCTTGTTGCTCATCCTTTCTTGGCTGGCCATCTGATGTTCGTTTCGGAGAAAAAAGAGCTATTGATGAAAGCCTGCAGTTATCTGTCGGAAATGCGTTTGATAACACGCTCACCAGTCTCTGAACCACGTAATGGTATTGACTTGACAATAGCGTTGAAAATCCGGATCTTTTTTGCTTTTTTTATTCCTTCACGTTCCCAGAGGAACATAGGGCGTAAGCTAGGGGCTTGAAGTTTCTGTAGCAGTGTCAATTTTACAGGATGGAGTTGCTAGCCTCATGCCCGACCTTTGCTCTTTACCAGGATTATTTCTGACTCAGCGAGGTAAAGGATTGTGTTGGGGACCGGGGATCAAACTCCGGACCATGTGCATGGTCGGCGAGCGTCCCTACCTCTGTACACCGATGCACTTTTTTGCTTAGTGCAGCATATATCCACACTGATTTCGGATTAATAAAGGTCTATCTTGCTATAATATCATGCATGCTGCCCAAATCGCACTCAATGTCTGTATGTATGGTATGTGCTTTGCGCCGTCTAAGTGAAAAGTACTGTTACAAGATCGATAGGAGCCTGTACCTGCACTCACTCTTGCGAGTGAACCGCTTGAAGTTGTTGATAAGTTTATGTATCTGAGCAGTTGTGTGAATGCTGGCAGGAGGGGTGACGGATGAGATTTCCAACCGTTTGATAAAGGCTAGGGTGGCATACATCAACTTGAGCCACCTGTGGCGCCGTCGCGATGTTAGCCTGACTGTGAGAGATCGGGTATACAATGCTTCGGTGCGGGCTGCGCTGCTCTACGCCTGTGAAACCTGGCCTCTCCGAGCTGAGGATGTGCGGCGACTCTGCGTCTTTGATCACCGCTGTCTACGCAGGATTGCTTGCGTTCGATGGCATCATCGCGTGAGTAATTCTGAGGTTCGGCGGCGTGTGTTTGAACACATTGGAGATCACCATTGATTGAGTGTCGCCATCTGGAAACACCGGCTCCGGTGGCTTGGACATGTGTTGAGAATGTCATCTCAAAGGCTTCCATACCGGTCTCTGTTCGCTTGCCAGTCCTGGGACGGGATGGGAAAGGCGGAGGGGTGGTCACTTCATGACACGTGTGGCATCGTGGGATGAAGGATGTTTGTGCTAGATTAGCGTCGGTTGGTGTGTCACGACTCCTTGGTTGGGGTCCGAGAGATAGCTCGAATCGATGTCTCGAAACTTTATCGGATATGGCCAAGAATCGTAATCAATGGCGAACGTGTTGCAATTGCTTTCTTTCTTGCCTTCCCGATGATAGTTGATGAATACTGTTTGAACTTATTAAGTATGACTGTTTTCCTTCCAGATTAAGTTGTTTATTCGTTCTCTACTCATACTTTTTACTTTTAACCTATGTTTTATTATTTTTGTGTGGCGCATCTTTCTTGGTGCCATATTGTACAAGTTTTTTCTTCGTTTAAATAATGATGATAGTAATAATCTTGCTATATCTAAATTTTTTCAGATGATTTAGCATCCATTGTAAAACGTCGACGGATAATGGCTGCACGAGCAGCCATAGAAAGAGAAGAAAAAGAAAATCTCGAACGTCAGCGACGCTTAGAGTTGGCTCAGGAACAGGCTGAAGAACGTGCGATCAACGCAGTCACTCGACTTTATGACACGCGCTCTGCAGAGGCTAAATGCGTTTTTCGTGTCAACCAATTGGTTATGATCGATATTATCGTCGTATCTGGTACTTCCATTGCTCTCCGGATCGTTTATTTTTGGAAGCTAATTGGGCCTGCTCTGATATAATGTATTCAGCTAACCCATCGAAAGGTATGTCGATTTATTGTTGTTAATCAGCAGATGTCAACAGATGGGTGAAATTAACTACATTATATTTCATTTAAGAACAAATGATTCTATTTCTATTTATTTCACTTTTTAGCTCTTCAAGATGATGAAACAATTCCTGAACCAGCTCATTTATGTGTACATAATGACCAGTTGAGAATGATACAACATTATGTAGCTCTTGGAGCAGTTGGTATTTTTATGATCGTCCAGAACAATTGGATGAATTATCAAACTCTTTATTGTCAAATGGTGTACGGGAATGCCAGTTAAAGAACAAACTGTAACAGATGGATTTTTAGAATCACTTAAACAAGGTGGAAAAGTGCCCCTAGTAGTAGTGAAAATCCTGTCCCATCAGAAAATAGTACCACAAATTTGACTCCAGTAGATCCAGTGAAAAGTGTTACTCAGAAGCGGTGAGTGTCAGTTATTATTTTAGTTTTGACTTTTCCAGATAGTTATCACGCACTGTCATTATTTTTGTTTTGATTTTCTACTATTAAATTGGTTATCTATGCAACAAGAAAGCAATTCTATGTGATGGGTGGTTTCCTTTGTTTCAGTTTGTCTTTTGCGGGTTGTTCAGTTTCGCTTTTCTTTGCGAAGTTTGCATTTTAAGCCTAACTGAGTGAGTTTCAATACAAAACTGCACAGAACTTCAGGTTGCCACAATTCACGTAGCATAGACAGAGGTAGACAAAAGAGAGAAAGAAAGAAAAGTGACATTTGAAAACATGGCGGTCTAATGTTATATGGGGGCTCATAGAAATATAATGCATCTGAGCCAGTGAGAACTATTTTGAGCCATATCACTGAATAGTCTTAAGACATTGGTTCTCAGCATCCTGGGGACCCCAACAAGTCAGTCTAAACCTGACTAAGTGACTCAAAACAACTGTCAAAGATTTCATGGATTGATGACAGGTTTATCTAGTTGCTATGTGAAAATAGTTTCCCCTCCAGCCCCACTAGTATGTACATTCTACCTATACACTCACTGTTGCCTAGATTACATAAATTTATCCCTCGTTGTCACTATTATTATGATCACCTCGATTGCTGTCGATTAATCCACATCTCTGATCCTATATTTTGTTAACACCATTAATTAGTCCAGAATAATCCAGAAAAAGCATTTCAGAAATCACAAAGAACGTCTAATATATCAGAAGCTAGCACTTCATATCAAGTGGAATTCTAATTGTCTGAACAGTAGTGATGAACTAAAACAGATTTTGACCTTGTTACAGCACTTTCTCCCCCATGAAATGACAAAATACGAATGTCATAAGCAATTTGATATAAGTATGAAACTTGGGCACTGTGTTAGAGCATAACTCCATTATTTTGATAAACCACACAGAGTTGTACAGCAATATTAACTGATGACGTTTTGAGCACAAACTATTGCTCATAATTATATCAAGTTCCTTGATATGATGGAGTCATAAGCAATTTCATTATGTAAACACACACTGCTTCTAAAATTTTACACACTTATCAAATCCAACAATCTACATCTGGTTTTGTTATCTTTACCAACTGGCCAGCTTGACAATGCAAAAATGACCCCTTGTTGAGGAACGATGATTAAGTTGTTATTTATAAGCTGAGATTTTGTAAATTCTGGTTTAATAATAATACTTTGATAAAGCTATTGGCAGCAGCATTAAATAGCGAAACGTCAGGAAAAACAATATCGCTTTGTTTTTGATTCATTCGGAAATATGAATAACCTTTATTATAATGAATATCATGTACCTAATGCCCGATGTTTTCGAACTGTTAGGAGTGAACTTGTTTTGGACATAAATTGCCTATGACTAACTTCAATATCGTCCATGTTAACGTAAGAACATTTTTTTTCATCTAAGTCGAAATTTTATCTTACTTATTCTGTAGACTCTTAGTTACGTTGTTCTTTTATTTCTGTTACAGTAATCTTAATGCTGGAGCTGCTTTGGCGGGGGCACTATTGAAGGTGAATTTCGCTTTATTTTATAATAATAATATAATTTTTACTTCACGTCCCCAGTGGAACATAGGGCTTCAAGCTAGTGGCTTGAAGTTTCTTTAGCAGTGTTTAATTTTACAGGATGGGGTTGCTTGCCTCATGCCCAACCTTTCCTCTTTACCAGAATTATTTCTGGCTTAGCGAGGTAAAGGAGTGCGTCGGTGGCCGGGAATCGAACCCCGGACCATGTGCATGGTCGGCGAGCGTCCTAACTACTGTGCCACCGACGCTCTATTTTATAGTTTACTGTATTATTTATTGTTATTCGTTTCGTGCGTTCTGAATGGAATGTAAAGCCTCAGTAGCACATCTCCATTCCACTTAGCTCCCTGTCACCCCTCTCAGCTGGTAGCACGATATCTCATAAGCTTCAATTTCGTACACACATGGCTTTGACGATGTCATCTTCGGACGCACAACTCGTTGCTACTCATTCAGCATCCACTTGAAAATCTGTTTGGCGTATGGTTTCACTTCAGTGTCTCCTCAGCATTTGATAAATCTGTAGATTTTTGTGCTGGTTTGCTGCATTGCTTGAGTTCCTGGTCTCTTTTTCTTTACAGTCAGCCATCTAATTTTCAGTATCGCGTGAATGGCGGCAGGTGTTTACATTTTTTGATTTTGGTTCACATTTGATCTGTCAGTGAAGCTGTAGCTCATTGGTCTTGGCTAACATGCAATATTTGGTGCATTTTCATCAGCGTATATTTGTTAATTTCTTTAATCTAGAAATCTTTCTTAATTGTTTTCCCCCACCCCCTATGTTTTGTTTTAGAACATTCTTGATACTGAAGTCCGTTTAAGATCTGGTGGTCTTGGTGGTGTCCCTGACTTTACAGAGTTTCAAGAACGCATGGCGCAAGTGCAGACTTCATATGGACTATCACAAGATTATTTGAGTGGACATTTAACATCAAAATCCACTTCATCATCAACAGGCAGTCAATCTCCTAACAGAGAAGGACTTGTCAATGCACTAATCGAAGTAGCTGAACATATAATTCCACGGTTTTTAAACGTACCTGATTTAACCAGTAAAGCACAATTGAATAGCGCACTGCAAAATCCCTCAGATCCTAGTGCAGATGTCAAAAATTCAATGACAACTGATCATATATCACGTGCCAAATATTCATCTGATGAAGAATCTGACTCTTCTGATACTAATGATCAGGAATTAGAAAAGGCTATTCTGGATCCTGAAGCTCATGAACAACGAACGCGTACGTGGATGACAGTATGGCGTAATGAAGTTCGAAGTGCTCGTACACTGGCTCGTTTAAATCTTTTACATGTAATTATCATAAAAATTTTTTTTACTTTATGTATTGATTACAGAAATTGTCAAACATTTCTGTTAATTTTTTAACCTGTTAATTGTTGTTAATGATGTGGCTTATTGGTTTGTTCATGGAGTTCTAGCCAATAGGATCCTAGAGCGATCCCCGCTTCACCTATGTGTGTTACCCAGGGCAACAGGCTGATATCATCATCCCTCCATGTCAGTTTGTGAGGCACACAGTTTGGGAGATAAATTACCTCTCCTGCGTACTGATTTCATACATTTTCATGCTGGTAATGTATAATTTCCTTTAAAATATTAGTTCCAATAAATTCTTCATTCAGTAAGTTGATAATGAAATTTAATTCACCGCCCAACTCCTCTATTTTCCCGGCTTTTCGGGTTAGTAGAACAAGGTTCAAGATTGTGTCTACCATGAATGGAACGGGGACCACATGCGCAGTTGGCAAGCATTCCACCACTGATCTCGACCCCATTGGTGTACGCACATATAAAATAATAGATAAATAAAGGCGAGGATTATTTTTCTCGCATTATTTATTCTAAACTTTCGTAGTGTTCACCCGGATATTTCAGCATTTATTCCTGCCAAATAGTAAAGGTTAGTATCATCCGTTTTGTCATTAACTAACTAACGGTATTTCATAGCAGAGCAATGTGATAATCCATGAAGCAAACAGCATAATACTTATAGTCCAACCTCCACAGTTAGCAATTACTCTTTTTTCCCGAATGTGAAACAAAATAAAAACCTAAGGAGTAGTTGATATTATCTTCATTTTTCGATTATTATTTGTAATGCGACATGAGTATTTAGTAAACAAATTTCCCTAGTGGAACTTTATAGAACAATATTTCCTCATTACCTGTGGTTCTGTTTTTTTATTCCTCTAGGCATGCTTGGATGCATGTGTTCTTTGGGAGAAATCAGTTGAAGATGCTCGTTGTCGCATCTGTCGTCGTAAAACTGATGATGACAATCTACTGTTATGCGATGGCTGCAATCTCGCTTACCATCTTTATTGTCTACGTCCACCACTGAAACGTGTACCAGCAGGTGACTGGTTCTGTCCAACCTGCCGACCAGTCTCGCGTGCTCTCGAGAAGCGTAAACGTGAAGAACGTCTAGCAAGATCAGCGAGACGTCGGAAACGGGCTGTGTCTTCTGATGATGATGATGACGATGGGGAAAACGAATCCGACGACAATCAGGATAGTAGTGCTGAAAGCGAGGACATTCGGACAACTAGACGTCGGAATCCTCGCCGAGGTAAATCTCGGAATGTCTCGCATTAAAACGCTCAGTTAGTCCATCGAGTCGTCATCCAGGTAAGATTTTAATCATTCAAAAAAAAAATAGATTTTCACACATATAAACCGCATCATCTGTGTATTCAATAATATCAATTCATTTTTCTTTTTACTTTTTTGTTTCCTTAGTTGCCTCAAAAAGTATCAAACATGACACATCTTGTCTTGTCTGTTCAGACAGCATCGGTGATCTAATATCGTGTTCCTGTTGTCCAAATATATTTCATCTGGACTGTCATGAACCTCCTTTACATCATATCCCACGTGGAGATGGTTGGCAGTGTTCAAGTTGTCGGCTGAACAAAAATCGTACTCTTATAACGTCTTATTTTCAAAGCAGAGATTATCGTCAGAAAGTGTATGTAATCACTATATATATATTTATTTTTTATTGGTTTAATGGCTTATCATCTTCCAGTTGATTTAGTCATTGTTTCCCATCCAGTCAATGTATTTTTCAATTGGTCCCAAGATGCCCATTATAAATTTCAAAATGCTGACTAGAGAATAAAAATATTCTTTTCGATAACTTCCTCATCAGGTTCTAGAGTTATACATCCGTAATTAATAAAGAATTATTGCTATTAGCAATTTTTTTTCCTTCACGTTCCGCAGTGGAACATAGGGCTTCAAGCTAGTGGCTTGAAGTTTCTTTAGCAGTGTTTAATTTTACAGGATGGGGTTGCTTGCCTCATGCCCAACCTTTCCTCTTTACCAGAATTATTTCTGGCTTAGCGAGGTAAAGGAGTGCGTCTGTGACCGGGAATCGAACCCCGGCCATGTGCATGGTCGGCGAGCGTCCTAACCTCTATGCCGCCACCGACGCATACTATTAACAATAGACATTTTAATAGCTTCGTTCCTTACCATTACAAAAGAAATTTTTGTAAAGATCAGAGCTATATCTGTTGAGAAGATGTAATTGAAGAATTGATGATCTTAAGAATGCGTGTACCACTTAAATTGATAATAGCTATCCAAAAAGAAAAGTTCATCATGAAACACAAGACGAAGAAAGTTGCGAAAAATGTTCCGTATCTGAAAACAAAAAGCCTTTATATGTGTGACTACAATTCAAAGGTATCTTACTACGTGGAATAATAACCAGCAAGTTGAGAGAATCAATTCAAGATACATTTCATGCAAGGCCAGGTGCAGGTTATATTTCCCATACGACGGGTTGTAATTCGTCAACTGAAAGTCGAAAATACTACCTGAGTAAGCTATCGACCTCTTGTTTCTATCAATTCAACTACTCCTGTGAATCTGCTTTGCAGTTTCTCGTTACTCAAAAGTGCCTACTAGTGTAACTGAATGAAGGTGTAGTAAGGAGCCTTAACAGTTCACCATTAGAGATAAGGTGGTTCAGCCGGGAAATGTAGGCAGTATTGAGAAGTCTTTCTCTCTCTCTCATCTTTTGGTTATCAAATAGATTTCAAAGGCGCTCCTATATAGTGAATACCTCAAACAGAGGAGGTCATTATTTCCTAATTTACCTGATATTCAGTCTCATGTTATATTTATGCATGTTATCACTCTTTGAACTGTAATCTATTGATCGTGTCAATTGCAAGAGTTCTTCATTTGTTATGAACGACATCTAACTGTAAAATCTGATGAACAAGTTATCGAAAAGAATATTCTTTATTTAGTCACTTATTTCTGTCTAGAAGGTGTGGAAATATTGCTCACAGAATTGTACGGAGTTGTTAAGTTTGCTTGTTGTCCTTGTCTTAGTTAGCAAACTTCGGCTTTTAATATACTTCAAGACTAGACTACAATGTGACATACATACTGTAATGTGTTTTCAATGATTGTAACTTTATAGTTGGTTTGTGAGGGTTAGTTTTGTTTTTACGAGTTGATCACGAACTGATATCAGTTAGAGAACCATTGAAAACTAGGGCGGGAGTACTGGACAGCTGTTTTGTTCTAGTTTTGGCCTTGTAATCGGAAGGTCTTGGGTTCGAACCCCAGTGGGTGTGTACTGCCGATGATTCCTAAAACTGGGATAAACAGCTGACTGTCCAGAAGTCCCCGGTTTTTATTGGTTTTCTAACTGATATGAATCCGTGATCAACTCGTAAAAACAAGACTAACCCTTACAAACCAAACTATAGAAAATTAATGTGATGCTCGCTAGTGACTTGCTACAAGATGGAGTTTCCCGGAGTTCTAGTGAGAAGGCGTGACCAGTGAGGTCCATCCAGATGTCACGTGTGAGGATGGATGTCTCACCGACAATATTAGTTGGTGTTCGCGCTAAATCAGGAGTTGGTAGTAGTTAGAATTCATGGGCTGGTCATTGAATCAGGCGGGTCCCAGCGGCTGAATTGTGACTTTAGACATTTTTCACAATAATTTAAATTTATATTTTATGTTTGTGTTGTAAAATATGGATTTCCCAGTTGTTTTATTGACTTCTAAGACCGAATACAAGAAATAGGACGTTCTTTTGTATGCAGCTGAATATCGAAGGCAAAGTTTTTAAAAATATTTCTGTGTTTGTTGCTGAATTAGTTTAACTATGATGTGTATATTATTACAACTTATTCTATATGGAATATATCTAACAAATAAGTTTTATTTCATTTTTCCGCTGCTGTTGACTACTCATGTTAGTACTTTCGTTATGCTTGTTGTAGTTCACTGTTTTCCCATTAAAATAATCAGTTGATACTTCCTATTTAAGTGAATGAACTTATGTTCACAATATTCCAACCCTTGATGTCACTCAGGTTTTTCTCTCATCCTATCTCATTACATGTTTTAAGTGTAGAAAGCATGATTCTGTTATTTTAATGTTTGTTTATTCATTCATCGTGTTTCAGCTATCAAATGAACTTTAAAAAGCGAACTGTCAGTCCCGAGGAGGAACACAGTGAAGATGAATTTGTAAATAATTCGCATTCTACGCGTTCAATGCGTACTAGAAATAGATCACAAAGAAGTGTGGCAAATTCTGATACAGATGATCAACAACGATCAAGTTTAGCGTCATCAGATGTGGATAGTCGTTCTAATAGTCAACAGCCGACATCATCTCGTCGTCGTCGTCGAAGTACTTCTCGGTCTGCATCTGCACTTGGTGCACAATTGAAAAATCATGCAAAACGCAGACGACATAATTCTTCTGGTGCAGAAGATGATAGTACTACGGAAACAGAACAAATGGATGAACAGTCATCTCAGGCATTGTGTTCTCAAATTCTTGATACTGTGTTCAAGCATAAACAATCATGGCCATTCAGAAAGCCTGTAGATAGAAGTCAGGTAATATTTAATTAATATGCATCGTTAAAATTGTTTCTCTATAGCCAACTTACTGTTATTTATTCAAATTACTTTTCCTGGTGGTTTCTCTGACATCAAACCTCTTACTCAAACTAATCATTTTATTAATTCACATTCTTGGCCTCACATCGTACATGTTTCCTGTTCATATTGTTCACTTATTGTTCCTGTTCTCTTGAAGGTGATTGGCAACATTCTACAACTTGTAGGTCTTTCTCTGCTAAGGTTATTTTAATGTCTCACGTTGTTTTCGTGGTCAAATTTCACCTCTAGGTTCAATCTGTAAGACTTCTTTCTCTTCAGGGAATTTTGGCTGACATGAGATTAGGATGGAAAAGGGTTAGTGATGATCAAGTCAAGAGTTGGCGTCAATCCATTTGACTGCTCACTTGGGACATGTTTTAAGGTGCAGACTACTTGTTCAGAGTCGTTGATTTACTGCTGAGAGCCGATGACTAAAGACTATTGGTTACCTGACTGACTGACTCAGATGCAATCACTTCTTGTGACTTCTCAAACCCGCTTGAGGCCTCATGTTGTTCCATGTCACTATTCTTTCTCCTGTACATTTCTTCTCATAATTCCTTTTAGTCAATTAATGCGTGCATTGTTTGCTTTTAAACGACTGTTACTGGTTTATGCATGTGAAATACCTTTCAGCCCACACAAAAGTTGACATATATTATATGACTCATGTCTAATGGCTGTACTCACATTTTCTTATGTACTAGTTCTTCATGGAACCTTGGCATAGTTTATTTGTGTTAGGTCATCGCCTTAAGCTCTCTACTTTCAGTCGATACATCCAATGTTCGAACCTCACTTCATCTACTTCAGCCTTAGTTAGACTGAAGGATTAACAGTGTCATTAACCGTCACACAAATAAGTGTGACACACATAACCGGGTATTGGTTAACTGCGTTCTAACTAACTAACTAACGTGGTTTAATTAAGTAGGCTTGTGAATAACATTCACAGTTGCATCCGCGTAGTATTTATCCCCTGAACTGCGAAATGTCGACGAAGGATTTTTGTTTCAGAAGTTTATTTTTCGAATGTTTTTTTATATATATTTTGAATGTTGAATCTTCTAAAGCTGGAATGACATTTACCGTATTTGAGCATGTAATATAAGAATGTGATCATATAGAAAAGGACCAGGCGACTGGAAGTATTCTGTTTTGTTTGGTAGCTTTAGGCTTAGGATCACTGTGTGCGTCGGTGGCACAGTGGTTAGGACTCTCGCCAACCATGCACATGGTCCGGGGTTCGAGCACACGCCGATGCATACCTGATATCTATGGTCAGCCTGCGAAATTTGGGCTACCGATATCCACGCTGAAAATTCCATACTTGTACCAAAAATACAGTGTGGAATCAAGCTGTAATAAAAAAAAAAAAAAAATTAAATTATTTGGGACAGATTTTTCATGTACCAGTGTTAAGAGCCACACTTATCGTATAAGGTCTGATTATGCTACCCAGTTACCCAGGCTGAAGTAGGTAGGCTATGACTCGAACCCACCGCCCTTTGGCTAGGCACTGAGTGCTTAACTCAATGAACCTCTTCTTCACATCATCGTTGTAATCGTCTGACATCGCTTTTGCTTAGCGAACTAATGTTGATATTGAAAACATTTATTTCCCGATACGAATATAAAATAAGCAGTAAAGGTTAATAAAGCAGGATTTAATGAATTCACCATGATGGAGCATTTGCCAAAATGGTTGAAAACAGCTGAGTGCAAAGTGCCAAAATCCTCAATAACAAAACATCTTGAGGACTACGGACATGATGTCGATGCGGTCAAGTCATTCACTCACTATTTTCAGCACACAAACAAGATGCTTGCAATTGCACAGACTTGTGCAGTTCGAGCTTATAAACCAGGTCTCTGTGTTGAAAAGGAGATGGTTGTCACTCTGAATCTACCATGTTAATACGTTTTACTTATTATTCTACCTCATTATTATTATCATCATTATTATTCTTGATTCATTTAAAACTATCTTTTATCAGTTGGATTATTTTAACCCACTTCAACACTATTATTATTATTGTTATTATAACTATTACTATTGATATTACTCTGTTTGCAGTTCTTATTATATTCTCTAATGACTAATTGTTTACCTAAGTGATGTATTCGAAGCGTAATGCAATTTATCTTAATTTTGATCTCTCATACTTTCTCTCCCGTTATCTATTTGAACATGTGACCTGGAAAACATTCACACCTGTCGTCTTTCTGCATGACTAATTCAATGTAATTTCAAAAGTAATAATATCCATGTATGTAGAGTATTCAGCTGACCAGTTCTACCGAAATTTGATGAATTCATTAAATCCTGATTTATTAACCTTTATCGCTTGTTTTAATGTTGATGTAATAGAATTATGATTAAGCTTAAATATGAAACTGGTTTTTCTTTCACAAGACAGTCTTACCCTTCTCCGTTATAACTGAATATAATGTAAAGTTTGATCTTGGACTGTAAACAGTAGACGCTTCCTATGAACGCGAACTTTTTATATTGAAAAATAGGCTATTTAATTGGCTCATTATATAAGTGACATGAAATGAATGTGTACTTAGTTTATCATTCTTGTTTATTTTACTTTGCTTTTTCCCACCTTCATTCTTTTTTTGGCCCTACCCACCTCTTGTATTACTTTATGATATATATTTTTAATTAGGTGCCAGACTATTATGAGATAATTACTGATCCCGTCGACTTGTCTATGATGCGTGATTGGTTATCAGAAGGACGGTATACTACAGAGAATGTATCTGAAGGATTAGAAAATTTGGCAAGAGATTTTGGTACTTTGTTTTATAATGCTGAATTATATAATGCTGCTGACTCAGATGTTTGGCTAGCTGGAGAGCAATTGGAGAATTTCGTAAAAAATCAATTTGCTCAAATGACCAATGGTGAGATGGATAGTTTTTTTAAATATTTGTCATTAAGCAGTTGTTTTTTGTGCCGAATATCTGTTTAAATTGTAATATATTGGAAGTTTTGAACATAAATATGGCGATTTATTGTATTAATTGTATTGTCAATTATTATAATTTTTTGGCGTGCATATCCACTCCATCTGGGATTTACTCACTTAGTCATTACTACAGGCTTTCTCTCCATTCAAAATGAACCCATTAGTGAATGAATAATTTTTCATTGAGGCGATAAGTATTTTTCTCACTCACTCCACAGTTTTAAGTCTATATAAAGTGCACAATACGACTTGATTCAAAATCCCAATATTTGTACGAGGACTGGGATACTGTCGTGGTGGGTAGTGGTTGTCTTAGGGGACCGCCTCCATGGTTTCTGGTGTCCAAGACAAAACCAGACGGCATCTAATCCTTCCGGATTCAGGATTCCATGTATGTGTGGACCACTTATTTGGAATCAGGGTTTTCCAGCTCCTCTAGGCAGACCTGCATGTTCACAGGCCTGGCTGTAAGTGGCAAATGTTTTCATTCGCTCCTTCACTTTTATAAGTAATATCCCCGTGGTCTCTGGGCTCTCGATAGGACTTACCTGGCAGAGATAGTGATCATGAGGGCATTTCGAGAAGGAGACCAAAGTCTACCCACTGGTTTGTATGAAGTTGTCTATGAGGGTAATGCATGTTATTGAGATATGAGGATGAAACTTGAGCACTGTGGTAGAGTATAAGTCCATTATGGATAAAATTTGATTTTGATAAAGTCACAGTGTTACATAGTAATATTTACTGATGACGTTTCGAGCTCATGCGGATAAATGAAACAGGAAAGTTATGTGAGTACCTCGATATGCTTATCAGCAATGAATTGTACTCGAAACGTCATCAGTGAACATTACTGTTTAACTGTGTGATTGTTTAGAGATCATTATAGTGAGCTGTCGTCAACACTCAGAAAAACGATTTCGAAGTAACCTTTACAAATGTTCAACTGTCGGGTGGTCGTAGGCAATCACTAGGAAGCCTTTAACCTAGGTATAGTTCTTTTTTGAACTTGTCAAAAACGTGTTCCTGCACTCTAGAAGGAACTCATGTCCCTTCTGTGGTTCGAATCCGGGCCATTCAGAGAATCCGACACTGAGCTTTTCGGACCAGGTGCAAGGCTTCTTACCGACTGCCCCCAGCTATCGAACAACAATTCTGAGTCCACCATGACGACATGTCGCTTAGTATGGTGGCCATCTTGTAACCGTGACTGGTAAAATTCAGTCTGCACCAAACAAAGGACTAGACGCAAGACATTGCAAATAAGCAAAAGTTAGAATTCATTGGTCAGAACATTTTAATCCCAGTGATTAAACAGTCAACTGACTCAAGCCGTAAGTTGAACATCCTGTGTTCAATGCCAGGAAGTGTATCGGGAACTGGAAAGAAATAAGTGTCACTTGCTTCGTCGTTTTCGATGACTCGGTTTGTTATTCTCTTACTAGAGAATTACCTATATATTCTTATAACGTTTTTTTCTTCTTGTGTTCCCTTTTACCCTCCTATTTAGATGTTGTATACTCTAGACCGGCGCTCGGTGATATGTAATACCAATCTAGCTTTGGGGGGGGGGGTGATTGGTTTCATCTTTATTATTCTGCATAAATCTAAGTCATCGTCTTCTTTGTTCAGATAACAAAAGGCATACTTGATGAGAGTCTGTTGACTAATCGAAAGAAAGACCTCGTCAGCAGCGCGTTTATTCCTTCTGTTTGTTTCATGTGCCCTCCTTGCGTGTGTGTGTTTTTGTAATCTGAAAAGAAATCCTAGTGTTGTATTATGCATTTAAATAAAAAAACCACAGAAGTATTCCTACTCCCTTTTTGTCTGATTTTCACTGTCTTTAGTGTGCATGTGTGTGTATGTGTGTAGACTATTTTTCTAAAATGTTTTCACACAACTTGACTATTCGAAGCAGTTTATATTACCACCACCACTATTTATAATGATATTATTACAAAGACAAGTATAGTTCAGTACAGTATAGTACTTTCATTAAAGTAAAGCGTGTGTTTATTCTACTCTCTTAATTTTTTTACACACACAAACACACAAGTGACTGACTAGCTTGTTGCTGGCTCTCCTTCTTTTGCCTTTTTTTTCTTTTTTCTGCATGTTGTCAAAACTGTCACAATGAGAGAATTCATCTTATGGGGGGGGGGAGTATTCTTATTTCTGCTATCTGTTTGTATATGTATTGAGGAGAGAATTCGGTGGCGTTTAATGGATGATACATTTGTGGCCACATATGAAATTAATTAATATGTTACAAGACGGACTTCTTTATTGTGTTTTGTCTTCTGCGTTATACTACTTACTACTACTACCTTATTTGAGTACACCTCTCTTATCCCTATCATCATTTATTATTATATATTTTTTATTGTGCTGGTATACGTACAGTCTGTTGAATTGTGTGTATGCGCACATATATAGCAACACACGTATGGAAGAGAGAGATGCACTTGTGTAGTGGTGTATTTTTATTATTATCATCCTTTTCTTGTATCTCTGTGTGCCTGTATGCGTGTCTGTCTGTCTGTGTGAGAGGTTACAGAGTAAGTAATTTGTTTGACTGTGAATAAAGTTACAAACAGGAAAAAATATGTTTTGTTGTTGTTCATATATCTGTTGGTTACCCACACCTTACATAGTAGGTAAAACAACGGTTTTCGGATGACTAAAAATTCCTAGTGGAAAACCTATTAGTTAGGTATTAATTTTCTGTTTTCGACATAGAACTTTGCATCAATGTGCGACAGTTCAAGACGCCATACTCCTTCCTTGTACCACACAAAGCAAGAGAAGAAAGTAGAGGCGTAAGACAAAGGAATAGTAATAACGAAGAACAATATAGTTTCATTGCATCTGTGCTAGCCATTGAGAACGATTTTGAGCCATATCACCAATTGTTTCCAATCATTGTTTTTTACCGTCCTGAGGACCCCAATCGGTCAGGAAGTCTACACCTTCCTATGTGGCTGGCTTAAACCGACTGTTGTGGATTTCATTGACTGTTGACATGTTTTGGTTTGACCGCCACTAGCTTTTTTCCAGCCTGACCCTATGTCAGCTAACATTTACCATTGTCGAGGAAGGCGATGACTAGGCATACGTAACACATGTCCTAACCATCTGAGTCGATGTAGCTTCACAGCCTCGTCGATTGATTTCCCCTCCTTGCGTACCAGGTGGCACAGCGATTAAGACGCTCTTCGACGATGTGCATAGTCTGGGGTCCGGCCGACGCACTCCTTTACCTCCCTAAACCAGTAATAAGACTGGTAAAGAGGAAAGGTTGGACATGAGACTAGCAACCCCATCCTGTAAAATTAAACACTGCTACAGAAACCTCAAACCACTAGCTTGAGGTCCTATGCTCGACTGGGAACGGGAAGGAAATAAAAAAATCAGATGCTTGAATTAGTTGAAATAAAGTATAACTATATTTCAATTGTGTTTACACACAATATTAAGTTTCGTTATTGGTGATATTTCCAGCAAAATTACTACCCGTATTCACACTACTGTTGGAATTGTTTACCTGTCGGTTGTGTGAAGTGTTCATTCCGTAATGGCTTTGCCTGTCGGCCATCGTTAGCTAACATAGAATTTGATAATAAAAGAGCTTAGGAGTGGTGAAGAAGAGATTCACACTGTGTGGAACCGGCTAAAAAAAATGGTGATGTATTTCTTGAAGTCCTATCTCCCATTCGGAACCCAAAGGAGTAATAATATGATGTCAGAGTTAGATGTGTTTGTGATGTTTTCAAGATTGTAACGATTGACAGTTAGTTGTAGACAACTAAGTTGCAGTAAAACGATGAGAGTTTCTCGATATAGGAAATGATGGACAACTGACTATTGCTGTACTTTTTCAGTCGGAAAGAATTAAAGACACAGTGAGCTTACCAAAAACGATAAGCTGGTTTTGATATGGTTGTGTTTACTGAGCTGGATAGTTAATTTGGGAAGCTGTCATCGCCTTACTAGGCGACATCTTCAGGGAATACTGCATTTGGAGGGAGTGGGCGTTTTGGTTTCTCCACGAGTTTATTAGTCATCTCTCCTGGTGACCTTGGACGTGATTGGTTGCTTTTGTGTTTTCACACCTTCCAGGCTACTTGTATTGGAACTGATTGTTTGATTGACCTGAAGTATGACTTTGTGTGTGAGGTTTCCCTCTTATCGATTGGTAATTCTTGTCTATGTCAGTGGGTCTAAAAGTTCAATTAAAATTAATATGACCCTTTGCACAAGAGGTGGCTCTCGTGAGCCTAGGGGTCTAGTAGATAACGCTTTGGCCTTTGACATTATGGGCACTGGTTTCGAGCTTCGGTGTGAACATCATCCCTCGCTAAGAAATGCAGGTACACCCGGCAGGGGAGTCCCAAATAGGACAAAATGCGCATCCTGGATTCCACTGCTAGTTACCACCTACCAATCCCGGCCGATAACTGCTACCTTGTCGTGGTGGTCGGGCTTAAATACCGCAATGACCCAACAAGCTGAACTGGGACTCTGTCTCTACAGGTCCTACCATGTCAGGGAGGTTTTCTGGATAGCGGTTAAACTGAAAGCAGTTACCATGGGGTACATGGGCTCCAGTATCCAATCGGAACAAATGGCGTATGAACCCATATGGGTCACCGGAAACCATGGGAATGCAGCTCCTGACGCTGCTCCGCTGCCTTGTGCATTAGACTCCAAATCAAAGGCTCGAGGGGTGGTCCCTTAATAAAACCACCTGCTTCGGTCTGGGCGCCCGGGCAGTATCTCAGCCCGCACCCGACCGAAAGCTGCTACCTTGACGTGGTGGTCGGGCTTGAACACCGCAATGATCTATTCAAGCTATACTGGCTGAGACTTATGTCTCTTGAGGTCCTACCATGCCAGGCAGGTTGTTTGCATAGCGGTTAAACAAAAAGCAGCTACCCAATCCAACATCATGATAAATACAAAATCACAAAATTTCATGCCGGATCGGCCGTGGCCCGGATTAACAACGACCGCGCTTCCTGTTGCCGTGTCACAGGGCAGGAGTGATAAATCTGCTACTGATTCACACAAAAGAACAAACAAAAGCAGGCCGCGTGTGACCGGCCACAAGCAGTTGTCCTCTGGGCTCTGCGGTCACGCAACCAACTTCCACGGTGTGGGCAGCCGGGAAGTAACAATCGCCCTCACAATCCGAAACGCACGCGAAACCTCTCTATTACTCACTCATCTTTGTCTTCATCTTCATCTCTATCATCTTGCCTTCCTTCCACTGATGCAACTCCTCGACTTGATAGCTCTCCACTTCCTCTCCACTCTGCGTCCACTAAAAACGATGGAAGCCAAAAAACCACCACCGACAGCCTCTTAAAGCCGCGCCACCAATTTCATATAGGAGCTCTTAATGTTAGGACACTTTGCCAAATAGGACAACAAGCATCACTAGCCAAGACCCTGGCATCACGAGCCATTGATGTATGCTGTGTTTCAGAAACACGCATACAAGACCCAAGTGTGGTTATTCACCTAACCCCACCTGGCCAACAGGTTGAATCTGCAAAATTCACCTTGAGGGTGTCAGGAGATGCCACAGCTAGTTCACGAGGATTAGCTGGCGTAGGGATAGCTTTGAGTACTAGGGCAGAAAAGACATTGCTTGACTGGATCCCGGTAGATAGCCGAATGTGTGCTGTCCGCCTGAACGGATCAGTAAGAAGGAGGAAGGACTGCACTACTCGCCGATGCCTTTTCGTAATCTCCGCCTACGCCCCCACTGACTGCAGTTCAGATGAAACGAAGGATGAGTTCTACCAAAAGCTGTCTAGTTTGGTGAGAAAGGCTAAACGCTCAGACATAGTCGTTCTAGCTGGTGACTTTAACGCTCAAGTAGGGAAATTGTGTCAATCTGAGAAGGATGTCGGTGGCACCTATGGAGTTCCGTGCCAGCGAACCGACAACGGTGACCGTCTCCTACAGTTCTGCTCTGATAATCATTTGTTTCTTGTAAGCACTAACTTCAAACACAAGGAGAGACACTGTTTGACTTGGAGACCCCCTTCATCAAACCAACGCTGGACACAAATAGACCACATAGCAATAAGCTATCGTTGGCGTGGGTCGGTAGGAGATTGTCGCTCCTTCTGGAACACGTGTGTAGATACCGACCATGCACTGGTCCGCGCTCGGGTGTGCTTACGACTGAACGGACGTAGGAAACAGCTGGCGGTAAAACCATCACGTCCCCAGCTCGATCAGGAAACTAAATCCGTATTTGAGGAAGAACTAGCTAAACACATATCTGTGTTCGACAGCTGTGCTCACCCTGAAGAAGCTTGGAAAAATATCCAGGCAGCCATAGATACAGCTGTAAAAGCTGTGAATAAGGTAAACCCAAAGGTGAGTAAAAACCACTGGATCTCCACCGCCTCATCCGAACTGATAGATGCTAGAAGACTTATTCCGGCGAGCTCCGAATTCAATGAGGAGCGAAAGCTGCACAAGAGGAAACTTACGAAAAGTCTCCGCAAGGACCGTGAACAGTGGTGGGCGAC